AACAAATATAGAATAAAATATAGTAAAATGTAACTATATCATTAATAGATTATACAAATAATGTAAAAACACTTATGTTCGTAACAAAAGACGCGAATCAAAAGTCAAATGTTAAATCGAAAGTGCTCGACTCGGACAGATTTATGTATTTTGTATGATCATAATCGACATATTTTAGTTTCTGATTAATAGCTACATGGTATAAAGATACAATGACTGTATTTATGTGTTAAACATTCACTCAAATTGATACAATATTGGACACAATGAGCATTGCCATGTTTTCTAGCAGACAGCTGTGCCACCTTTCTTCTTTCGTTTTTAATTTATGACTATACCACTGCTACGGATTTCATTAGCCAAACTCATGATTCATTGGCTGTTATTTTAGCAATCATACTGAAAGCTATTATGTTCGTAACGGTCAAGACACCAAACATTTTACAATCAGAGATCATTTTAAAATTACAAAAAGAACTGAGTTATGTTCATGAAGCATATTGTTAAAAATAATTTATCACACATACTCATTAATTAAACACAGAAATTGAACTTGACAAATTATTTAGTGTTTGTAGAGAAGTTAAAAACTTCAATGCATATGGACACAATGCGTTACGAACATGAACCATATATTTTTAAGTTCAGAAAAAAATAATTAGGATAATTTTAGCATGTTTGACAAAATAAATGTATTATTTCATTTATATGCTGAGACAATGTACACATATATCATCCCAAATGATTTGATTTTTGAATGAAACAATATCTTTATGCCTATTAGAAAATTATGCCACATTTTCTGTGATTGAAATACCCTACAACAATGACCAATATTTTTTTATTCCTCAACTCACATTCATAAAACTATTTATACTATATCCTTACACAAGTATCAAATCATATCAATATCAATCTATCTGCTTACATATTATTTATTGGAAAATAAAGGAGAAAAGAAATATATTTTAAAAATTCACCAGTATTGAAGAATGAGTTATATAGAAATTTATGGATTGGGGTTTAATATGTTAATACTGTGATAAATGCAAAGTTTCCGTGAGTATTATGAGATCATTAAAATTTGTGGGGACCAAATTTCATGGATTGCATAAATTTCATACATGTAGGTTTGTGTGGATTTAACTACAGTGTACATGTTTTCTATTATACATGTGCCTACAAAAGGAAATATGGATGTAACCCTAATTAGTACCAGGTAATGACATGTATGAATTCATGGAGGATGTTAATTGATGGATGATAGCTACCCACAAACTCTACAAAAACTGAGTCACAACAAGATATATTCATTCAAAAGTATAAAGGAATCTGGCTGTCTAGTTGTCCATTTGTTCTTGCGATCTTGCCAGGACTATAACTCAGTAACAGAGAATCATTGGCCCATAATTGGTGCAAAGATTGCATATGAACTGAGGATGGGTACTGACATTGACACAAAGTCATTCTGGCAAGATCAAGGTCACTTGCAGAAAAAAAGTTTTTAAAAAATGTTTGGTCTACAACATACTAAACATATGCTAATAGAGGCTATTTGGAACTCCAAAACATACAAAAGAATGCTTATGAGTTCAGGGTGTGTCATGACCTTGATCTAGTGTCATTGTGCCTCTATATACAAACAATGTTGATATCATTGAAATAATTTGGTGGCTAGTATAAATGTTTTTCATTTGCTTTTTTATACCAGATCTTGACAGTTGTATGCTTATACATACATGTATTGATCAGAGCTATTCAACTGTATTAATATCTTTTGACCTTGGCCTTTCTCTTGATCTTACTTATCTTAAAATGATAAAAAGTTCAGTTTAAAGAAACTATTTAAAATTTTCTAATCAGACCTAATGTGCTCATTCATATTGTAAGAGCTATTCAACTGAGGCAATATTTTTTTTTACCTTGACCTTTCCTTTGACCTTGACTTTGAATTTGTGTTAAGCTAAATTTCAAAGAAAGTATTCCAGATATTTTTTTATTTAATTTACCGGTATATGCTTCTTTATATTGAAAAGAGATATTTGGTTGACCTTGACCTTTCCTTCAACCTGGTGTGCAATTTTCTCAAATTTGTTTTTATCTCAAAGAAACTGTTTCTTCACGTATTCCTTTTTAAGCGCTAAGCGCAGCGCACAGCGCTTTCTGTCAGCGTAAATCTACTTCCGTCCTGGATCCAGCGCCACTATAAGCAAGTTAGATAACTCCACTTGTTATTCTAAAAATATGCAACTGGAAATCCCTGACTCTCTTTCTGCTATCTTAGTGTAATGCTGCGTTACGTGGTTTCTAATAATAGAAGGTAATTAGTAAGGTTTAAGGATGTTCCACAGTCAGAAGATAAGAGCTGTTCTTATCATGCTCTTCTGTATACATTGTAGTTCATTTAAATCATGTCGGTACACATTAATTTGGTACCTCGTAGCTTACAATTGCTGCCTCTATGGCGCAATTACTTAATTATAGAACCAGTATATTATTTATTATGTACATGCAATATAGTGATTGAATATTCATACGTACCCGGTACATGATTTAAGACTCAGATGGGATTTTGATAAAATTTTAAATCTCAAACTGGAAGTGAGTTACTCAATAAAAGAAATCACATAAAATTGATTTACAAAGTACTACTTACATAATATGGTATGTTCTATATATCCATTTAAACTATAATTATTTTTTCTTCTAGACAATTATTTCAGGCAATGTCACTAAAACAAGCCTTTCTATTAGGGATGTCAACGAATAGTCGACTATTCGACTATCAGTCGAATGGACCGACTATCGAATAATGAAACGACATTCGAATATTTAATAAATGAAGAAAAAGCAGGTGATAAGGATATTCTCAACTCAAAACTGATAAAGCGTCATTCCTCAAACCATTATAGTATGACGAATAAGAGCTTAAACATAGTCACAGTATATAAATAAATTTCCACATTGGCATACGGAAAGTACATTAATTACATTCCGCGATAATTATTTCTCAATTACCGACCTTTTTGTTTAATATTGTAGTAAATTATGCAGCGCTATTCTGGACTTTGAAAATTATTAATTGGACTTATACCAATTAACAATTTATTTATTACCTCTAAGAATGTTCAAATGCTGTAGAAACACACAAACGCCGTGAAGTTTTGAAACTTCGATAATTATTAAAACAATCATACATCGTAAGGACATTTTGATAGCGGGGCTAATCGATAATTGAACAAGCAGTGTTTAACAATACCCCCTGACGTGTGAATGGTGTGTGTTTACCCCTCCCCCTTTTCAATTTATTTTTAATAAGCTTTAAAAACTTTCTAAGCATACTATAGAACGAAAGACCAATATATGAATATGTGATTTACGAGAATTCATACATTTTTAAAAATAGATTGCTGGTGTAAATCTATTTCATTTCAACATCTTATTCCTACTTTAGGTTCCTCTGAATATCGGTGCGTAATACGCTGTGTAGGCATTTGATGTTACTTTTTACATAAATTTACGAAATGGTTTTTGATTCATAAATACGCTATCGATAAATGTTCCGAATAGTCGACTGTCGTTCGAATAATGCAATCGAATGTTCGACTAAGAAAAATAAATATTTTGACATCCCTACTTTCTATTAACATCTTGCACCATGCTGAGATTTATCAGTGAAGTTGATTTTCGCATCTAAGTATCAATTAGTAACAGACTGGAATGCATTCAAGGCCGTTTTTTTAAATGTCTATACTTGTGTTATACATAAATCGAAAGGAAGGGCAGTTTGTGGCTGTACAGACATGTAGAGCATGTGGTGGATGTGTTTTCAACGAATCCACTCAAATAGTAAAACTTTTTTTTTATTTCTCGTGCTCTAAAAATGTGTGTGTAGTGTGCAGGATATGGCGAACCATGCTAAAACTTTAATTAAAGTTCTTAGCAATGGACAGAAATAGGGCTGATGAAATGTTAAGCAAACGGTGTAATACTTAAAGTAGGGAACTAGGATTAAATAGTTTATGTAAAGATGTGTCTCAGCTGTGTTGCCGATTCTTAATGAAGACTAAATAAAAACAGAATAAAATAATGATGTATACCTTCATGAAGATTTATTAATACTTGATATTAATGCTGTATTTTCTTTCTTGGACTCTTGAATTATTAATCATTGAAATAGCAGAAATATAATGGGCAATTATTTTCAGTATACCTTTTTAACTAGCACAACAATGTCGTAGATATGTTTTTCCTCTCAACATGTTTTGCATGGTAGTGAAGATCATACATACACAAGTAAAGAATGGTGAAATGCACCGGGCGTCCGCAAAAAATACTGAAGCATTTTAAATTATTTCAACAATAGTCAAAAATACTTTTGGGGGTTTAACGTATGACGGGTTTGACGTATTTTTAATCCAAAGAAGAAAAGTGTAAAATTTTTATTGCAGAAACGTATCATTTACTAATGAGTGACACATATTGTATATCAACACAAATGTTACTGTAAATACATGTACACTGTAAATCAAATAGGAATTAAATACAACAGGGCATTTTAAATTAAAATATAATTCTGACGAATTCCAAATCAATATGCTTAGCGCTTTCCAGTACTTTCAGTACTTTGATTTATGCAAGCATATGCACTGATACATTAATTGGTGAGGATTAGGCATATGTGTCCATTTTGCTTACATTATCTTCCCAGTGATCTTTGATTTTAGAGCTGTATTAAACTGAGTTTTAAAGAAACTATTCAATGTACTTTCATCAAACTTCATACTCTTATACAAATTTTAATGTTGCATTACTAATGAACCCTGGGTGGGGTATTCATGTCATATGGACATATTTCTAGTTATTACAGCTACCCAGTGGTTGACTCCGAAAAGCATTGTCAGGTGCCATTTTTCCGATGACAGTAGGGATAACAGTGTTAATGTTTTATCTTTTAATGTTTATTATGTTATTATTCACTGATATTTTTGTGTCTTAAGGTGGCTACAAATACAGCGAGGAGAGGGTTGTTACTAACGACAAACTGATCACCAGTCGAGGGCCGGGAACCACTTTTGAATTTGCTCTAAAGATTGTGGAAATTCTACAAGGCAAAGAGAAAGCCCACTCACTTGTGGCACCTATGCTGTTAAAACTGTGACATTGAGTGTATTCATGTTTGGTTTTTAATTTGTGTATTGCTTTTCTGTTATAAGCTTTTGTTAATAAGTAATACTGAATTGGCATTCAGAGTTAAATTTTATTATATAATTTACATGGTTTTGTGGGATTTTTGTTTGTTTTGGTTTATTAAAGAGAGAGTTTTGATACTTGTTTGATTTTTTTAATAATTCTATACAGAATCATTGTATTAAATATAAGAAGAATGTAGAAACTAGATACGATATTCCAGTTTTGAAATTAATATCCTTTTCATCACCCATGATGATGATTAGAAGAATTACAGTGTATCCATGTAGTGTTACAAGAATTCATCTAGTAAGTTGAATTTGTAATGACCTTTGCAAGAGATACACATTTTAGGTCACCCGAGTTTATGCCAATGTACTTAGAGCAAGGTTATGATGAGCAAGGGTGCCTCTTCTTTAATTTTGAAAATCACAGTCCCGAGGTCAGGGGTTCTGGTGCTAGGAATTATTTAAAAGGGAGGGGGCTCTGTTGAATATATTGCAAAAATGCATTAAATTCATTAGAAATGTTAACCAGTAAACCTAAATGTATAGTTATGATGAGCTTGGGTGCCTTTTCCAAAATTGGGAATGTGTTGCCTCAGGGTCATGGGTTCCTGTGAGGCGGGGGGATGTACTGATTATATGTTTATGATTAGTGGAAATGCATTATTTCTTTGATCCTCTGCTCTGTGCCTGGGTAAGTATAGAGTCATGATGAGCAATGCATGGTGCCTCTTTCAAAAATGTGAATTTCATGGCCTCAATTCAGCGGAAAGTTGTTACATGATACTCAGGTGACCTATAAGGCCCATGGGCCTCTTGTTCACATAATTTACTCAAAAGAAAAAAAAAAAAGTTATAACAGCTAAGTAGAAGATTGCGGGGAGAAAGTTGTTACCGGGTAGTTAGGAATATACAGTAGTTATGTTTTAAATATGTTAAAAATGTACTTGAAAATAAACAGTTTTTGCACATTTTGATTTTCAATATCGTACATTTATATTTAGTACTCAAGAGTTAAGAAGCATATGCTGTTTCAAATTGATTTTATTTGATTACTTTGTTGCTTTTTATGCACCCGAATTTATTCGGGGCATATAATGTTTTTGTCCAATCTGTCTGTTTGTCTGTTTATCTGTTTGTCTGTCTGTTGTCAACTTTAACCTTCGCCATAACTTTTGAACCATGAGTACATGAATACATATTTGGTATGCAATTAAGCACTTTCAATTGACACCAAGGTTAATGACCTTGTGACCTTGACTGTGACCTATACACTAAAAATAGCTTTTTCGAACTTTCGCCATAACTTTTGACATATGAGTGATAGAGACTTCATATTTGGTATGCTTACTCCACTAATTAAGCACTTTCAACTGACACCAAGATCAATGACCTTGTGACCTTGACTGTGACCTATTTGCTAAAAATTGCTTTTTAGAACTTTGTTGCCGCCGGGCGCATAGTGTTTCACAAACACATCTTGTTTAACATTATATAGGAATACAAAATATATAGTATATACAAGGATCGAATAAAATTCAAGCAT